GGGTGCGGTACATAGTAATAAGGGGGCGGTAAATAGTAATGCCCTAATTTATTCCCTACATTACGCCCTACGCTCTCTCATTTGCACTGCCCTCCTTTTCACTCAGTTTCCAGTTTACAGAGTTATCAGTTCAATTCATTAAAAAATCCCCCTTTCAAGCCCGCGCCCAAATTCCTCATCTCCGCCGCCGAAAAATGACGTCGTACGGCACCATCCCGGCGTCCTCCTCCCCCTCCGGCGCCGCGGCAAACCTTGAGTACATCTCGCGCGCCAAGGACCGCATCAAGGCCGGCCTCGGCACCCGCCGCCCCTGGCGCGAGATGCTCGACCGCCGCGGCCTCGGCCTCCCGAGATCCGCCCGCGAGGCGGCGGCGCGCGTGCGGAAGAACCTCACCTACTTCCGGATGAACTACGCCGTCGTCGTCCTCGGCGTCCTGTTCCTCAGCCTCCTCTGGCACCCAATCTCGCTCGTCGTCCTCGTCGCGATGATGGCGGCCTGGCTGTTCCTCTACTTTCTCCGGGACGAGCCGCTCGAGGTGTTCGGTCGACTGGTCACAGATCGGGTGGTCCTGGTCGCGCTCGCCGTGGCGACGGTGGTCGTCCTGTTGCTGACGCACGCCACCGCCAACGTCCTGGCGGCGCTGCTCGTCGGGGTCGGGGCGGTGCTGGTTCATGGCGCCGTGAGGAGGACGGATGATTTGGTCGCCGACGAGGAGGCGGAGGGGGGTTTGCGGAGGAAGTCCGCCGGCGGTCCGCTTTCTTCGTGATTTCTGTTTTAGCTGTTGTAAATTAAAAATCAGTGGTCATCTTGTATCAGGTGATTGAATTTGTTGTGTGGAAATGTGAAATTTTATTTAATCAAATAACTCTCTTCTGCATTGGTTGAAGTTCAAAATATAAATTATTTATTGTGGAATTTCTTTTTGTGGAGTTCAAATCTGGAAAATGCGACCAATTGTTTGGTCAAATGGGATGATGAACGTGTCAAATGGACCTATTGATTTGAAGACTGCACAATTAAAACCAGACCTAAATAAAATTCAAATGAAAGGAACAATTACCCGTTTGTAAATAAAATTCAAATGAAAGGAACAATTACCCG